AGGTCCTATGGAGTGAGCAGGCCCCTGCTTAAGACTCTGTGGTGGCATCAGCCGTCCTCTACGCTGTCGTCTGCTGGGCTCCTGGCAGCGCAGAGCGGCACAAAAAGAGACTGAACAAACTGGTGAGAAAGGCCACTTCTGTCCTGGGCGGCACTCTGGAGGAATTGGAGGAAGTGACTGAGAGGAGGGTGCTGTCCAAGTTTACATCAATCTTGGAGAACACCTTCCACCCTCTGCAAAAGACTGTAGTCTTCATTGAAAGACTTTTACACCCTGTTTGTAAAAAGGAGCGCTACCGCAGGTCATTCATCCCTGCTGCCACCAGACTTTACAATGCAAGACTACAATGGCAATAACTTGTGCAATATTCTCTGTGCAATAACCAGTTTCTCTATATTTGACACCCAGTGCATATATGTATATCCATCTCCATCTATATGAATACCCATGTAAACACCCTGTGCAATAATGTATAATAATCCTACTATTAAAAAAAAAGCTCTCATAGACACACTGCATATACTGCATATTCCCCATGCACCTTTTTCTTCCTTTGGCACCTTCTTGGTCTTCTTTGACTATTTGAGCGGATGTAACGAGTTAATTTCTCCACTGTGAGATCAATAAAGTTAATTTATCAGTCAATCAATCAAGACTGAAGGGAAAAAAGAAACAGGTTTAGGCAATAGTGAATGTTGCTCTGCCATCGATTCAATGTAGCTATTCTGAAAAAGCATGATTGTCAAGAAGTGTAAGTGTGAGATATGCTGCTGTAGAAGGAGATTAATTTATTTGAGAGCCTTTCTCATTGTAAGGGGGGCTAGGTGTTCTGTTAGATGAGCATCCCTTGTCAGACCAGTATACCAATAGTCAATATGCATGTGCAAGACGTCAAATTTGTGTTTATCCCATTAGTTTTGAACAAAACGTAGACTTTAAACTACTTCAATGGGTGTGTATCCCTTTAATCATGTACCAAAAAAAAAACACAATTTAAGGTGAGATCGCCATACGCTTCAAAAAACACCAAAAGGTAAGTAATTAAACAGTTTTTTTCTACATGACTAAAGGGATTACATGCCCGTTGAGGTAGTTTGAAGTTTATTGTTCGTACAAAACTAAAGGGGAAAAACTAAAGGCAGAAATGAGTATTGACTATGGGTATGTTGGTCTAACCAGGTATGCTCATCTGACAGACAGTGGCGCTACCAGGGGATGGCCATGGGTGGCCACAGCCACCCTGTAAAATGCCCTGGCCACCACACTCGCCAGTGTAAATTGTAGTAGCATCAGTTAGGCATTTCATCTCATTATGCACAGCCAGCGATGTAACATTAAAAATCACACAATAAACCAGGATATGAGTATTGAGGTGTTTACTTAAGTCTTTATGTTTTCTACAAACAGGTTTACCACAATAATAGATTCGAACCCTGAAATTATGGATTTTAGTTTCAGTGTGACATTCATGGGCAGCTCTAGACAGAGGTCAGTGGGGGCCAGTGCCCCTGAAGATCATGTTCTGGCCCCTGTTGTGGCTCCTGTACTGAAGAAATAATACTCAAAGAGGTTCTAATGATTATATGCGCTGGAACAGACATGGTTACTGATAGGTCCTTTACATCTATTTCATTTTTTTCTTTACAAATTCTGTTTTACTAATTATTTAAAAACAATAAGGTGATAGCTTCAGTAGTATTGAGATAGGTGGCGTTTTTCTTGAGTTTTAATTCACTTTTTTTTTTTTATGGTAATTTTGACTTACATCAAGTCAAAAATATGTAAAATTCCTACATTATGAATGCATATTGACCTAATAAGAAATAAGATTTTAATTAATCCTAATTGAAAAGAATTTTCACTTCATGCAGCAATTTGAATCCCTTGCTCTGTTTTTTATTTCACGCTTTTCTGTGCCCCCATGAAAACACTGGCCCCCTCCTGGCCCCCTGGTACATTTGGTCAAGAACCGCCACTGGCGGCTGGCCATTAGAGGGCGCTAGGACGCCGCCCCACCCGCCCAATGACCCTAATCATATATACAGTATATATACTGTATAAACGGCGCAAGAAACGTCCTTTTCCAGGACCTGGTTGAGCAGGAAGGCTTGGCTAACTGCATTTAGCAAGGCTTACACTCAATGGCGTAGCAAC